GCATATATGCTCGTGTATAGATTAATATAGTGATCTATTTTTACTTTACCATATATTTATCCCACCAATTTATTACATTCATTGTCAGAAAGGATAAAAGCATGGGTGTAAGGTTTGTGACGAATGCAATCACCATTCACACCTATATTGCAAAATATGCAAAAAGTAGCAAATGGAATATATAAGCGATGTGAATGTGATAACATGTTAGAATAAATTTCATATACGTATAAATTTATCTGAACTATAATACCTTACAAGGTTTATCATTATTCATAACTCATGTAAAATGAGTAAAAAGTACTATTTTTAAGTTTTTCTTAAAATAGTACCTTAACTAAATTCGGTCAACAATCTTATGACACATACGTTATCTGTGCAACCAAATCTTTATACGAATTTTTTTACAAACATTTATAGAAAAAATAATACCCAAGCTTTAGATCTACTCCAAAGCTAGTACAAAACTTTATTTCTTCTTCTAACAAAATACACACATACTTCTTTTTATAGTTTTGGTTTATACTAAAGGCTCTACTAGGCAGTCAAGTGAAGTATAATACTTAGCGATCTTTCTCTATACTGTAATGCCAAAGATGTTGAGATCTTCAATGCACATTCCACATGCCTAGGGTTACCTTATGACCAACATAATGTAATGTTGAATATAGAAATTGGCGTAGAGCGCATATAGATCCTTTTTCTGCTATTCTCTTGTTATTTGTACTGCTATTCAGAGAAGAGCGAAATCTATTTATAAAGGGGAGTATAATGAAGTTATAGAAGTTTATCACTTTACAGTGATTAAAAAATCGAACTAACATTTATTGCTTCCAAAATGTCTAAAAATTATTTTTACCTTAACCACAACCAACCAAGCAATGTATTGTATTTTAAAGAATAGTTGCCAAATGTCTATCTACTGAAAGTTAAGACTTTGAGAAGAAACGATATTAATATAGCAGAATCTCAATACCGCCAGGAGCTAGAAGAAGCTATAACTACGTGTAAAACAAATAATTCAAAAAATAAGCTAAAGCTAGTAGAGATCTTATCTCAGTTTAACGCGACTTCTAAGGTATATAATAAAAAATAGGTTATCTATTTTTTCAGAAGATGATGAACAATTTTGCAGAAGGGGATAGAAAAATAACAACATAAGCCTATGTTGCTATCTGTATCTAGATGTATGTGATAAAGTTTTTGCGTATATCTTAGCTTACAGAACGCTAGCACTGTAAGCATCGAAGGGTGCAGTTCAGGTGATTCATCGTTCTGGTGTGGGTCTCATACTAGGTTCAGTACGAGCTATGCCTTGTATACCTTGTCTCTAACCATGGGCATGAATCCCATTTATATTATAGAAAATGAATAACTTTGGAATAGCTGATTTCATATATTATATTATATAATTATATTATCTTGAAGATACTAGATTAAGTTATTTTTCTTCTTCTGTTTTAGGAACAACATCAAAAATTTTATAAAGAAGCTTGGACAGGAGAAAAGGAAAAAGTAAGTATAAATATATATGTACCTCATACTATCCAAAACGAAAAGCGCTTATTTTTTTTCATTTTTTACTAATATAGCAACAAGCTATGGAACAGGAACGTAATATTAATATAATTCAAGAGAATATAGAATTTATATTAAGCAGATATGTAAGTAAATATCATAATTCTAATTTCTGGTGTGTTTATTGTTAATTGGAAAATATTATCTATAGAGAGTTAGGCTAGTAAATAGTTGCTCAGAAGCTACTATAGTCACATATACCAAAATTGTTCGTCATTTAGAACACTTAGATCCAGCGACGATTAAACCAGAAGTTCCTTTAGCATCTGGTATTATTGATCTCTCCAGAAATGACGACCCATTTGTAAATTTGTTATTGTCTAGGTCTAAGGAGATTTTGATGCACCATGAGTTCGGCAATAATGAATTTCTGGGAGAAATTAAATTCATGGTGGACGATTTCGTAGATATGTATAAAGATCTGAGACCTGATTTTGATCCTGTGTTAATGTGACCAATAGCCTTTCTATGAGGAGAAATGTCTATTGAATCCAGATGTATACTGATGATGGTTTTTGACTTGTTAGAAGGATTGTAAGTTATTTGCATTAAATTATGTGTATATTTATATAAGGTTATATTATTAATTAAGAGTATTTCTAATTCCAGGTGACATATTTGTAGTCTGAGACTATTATTAATGAAAGATGATTATAGTGAGAACTCATATGTAATTCATGCTATATCAAAGGTTTTAGATCCAATCTTCACATATTCGAAGTGGTTCCTTAAACATGCATGATAATATATATACTGTAATTATTTTTATAATGATCATTATAAATATGTAAATACCTGCTAAATGCTATACATAAATTTTAATATATATAGGTCTGAGCAGACGAACAAGTCATCATAGTCTAGGATAGAATGAATAGAAGCCACGAATTCAGGAAAGAAACCGGATCTACAAGTTTTGTTAAAGCTTGATACAGTGGAAAATGAAATAGTATTTGCTGAGGTTTCACGATTACTGCCTCAACAAGATAAAGAAATTATTGACTAGCAAAATTGGTACGTATTTGCAAAGATTGTTTTGATGAATGATATAACGGTTTTTTTGATAGGAGGAATAATACTACCAATATAGCCAGATCGATAAATGTCAAGTTAGGGAAGTTCCTGTTTTAGGTATCCAAGTAATATAAGATCATGGGATCATTTTTGCGTTAGACTTATTTGAAGATAATTTTATCAGGTTTTCCGAATATGTGAGTTGGTTATACTATTACGTATTTCCTCATGCCTAATAGTTGAAAAATTTTTAAAGAACACTTTTAAAATGAGGTTTGCGGTAGAAAAAATTATTGCAATGTCTGTTGATGTGAAGGACGAAATTAGTCTTTTAACGGTAACTGAAGATCGGACTCCATCAACATCAATGATGTCGACAACATATTTTCTACCAAAAAATTTTTAGATAAAAAATTTCTGAATATGTATATTTTTATTCTGTATTTTGTTTTTATTTTTTATATCAATAAAGCTAGCCCTGGTGGCTGATTTCACATACATAATCATGTTTACTTTTGCATGTATATTTCAGGATTTTATTATATTGTACAGTCATTGATGCCTATATATGATAGATTTTTTTAGTGGTTTACCACATGACCAAAAGTTACGCACTACTAATTTTTATAAACTCACTTTTGAATATATCCGCATCATATATAAAACAATGGCAAACACACAATCCAAAATCAATTTATTAGAAGAATTAAATTTTAAGCTTCAGGCTGAGAATAGTGAACTTAGAAATGAGAATGCTAAAATTAGGCTGAAAATGCAAAATTAAAACAAGCTTAAGAAGAACATGAAACCAGATTCACGAATCTAGA